TTGTTTTCACTAAGGAAAGATATATTGAATTGAAAAATAAGGTACAACAGTATAGCCTTGATTTACTTAATTGCTGTGGGAGCTCCGATGAAGTGTCTACTTTGATGCTTGGAAGCAAGGATGTTAAACAAAAACGAATCAAACTTTTTCTGAAAGGAAAAGTGGTCACCAAAGCCATAGAAACGGGGCATAAGAAGGTATGTAGCACCATCACTCGCCATTGTTTGTGTGATCTTTGCTGTATCACGTTTGGTTAGAATTGCTTTTACTTTTTACGGATTCACACTATTATGCCTTGTGTCATACAAGAATAGCTATATTTATATTTCTCTCAGTTTAGACACGTTTGGGCATAGCTACCAGCATTTTCATTACTATCATTTTGTTCTTTTTCGTATATCCGTGGGTCATTAAAACAGTTGGGTTATATTTACATACATGCTGCCATTACAGTATATTTAGGCAAACAATTATCTCACGGTCAACGGGCATTTGATGCAATATCCACGCTACTTGTATTACAAAATTCCAGCACGCAAATTATGCAAACATTATTGCAGGTTGTCATATATCATCTGTTTATTGCCATTATATTATTGTCGTGTTGCGTTGACCTGGTATTGCTTTGCACCTTACACTTATAGGGGCCTATTTGCTTGACAAGTGTTTGTTTTACTGTTCTCAGCTTATAGCACACTACAAATGTCAGAACGTGATGAGAAAGGTTTGGCACACGGGACAACCAGGATGGCATTGCAGGAATAACTTTTGGTGGCGGTGTTTATACTTTATCTACTGTTTCATTGTATACGTGTTGCTAGTGCCATTGTTGGCCGTTATATATATCATAGCACCTTGCTCTCCAGTGACTAAAATTCTGGATAACCCTAAAGCCAAATTCTTAATGAAAATGGTCGCTTACTTTCAATTTATTATTCTAGTCATCTTGCTTAACATTAAGCCTGAGGATAAGATTTACTTTGAAACATATTCATATATTTATTCTCTACCCTTTCTATTAATCTACATCGTTGCTCTCATCTGGGGTGAAATTCGCGAAATGATGATATGTGGACTAAAATCTTTCTTCACTTCTTTCTGGAACTACATAGATCTACTGATCCTATCATCATTTTTTGCCAACATCTCTCTTCGTATAATTGTCTATTCAAATTTGGTGGATATCAATCCTGTAGGTTTTTTATTCTGGGTTACGTGGACGGCTTTCACTCTTACCCTTGCCTGTCTTGTATTCATGGAGAATTTTTACCTTTGCTTTTATCTTGGTCCAATGTTGCTAATTTTCACTGCAATGACCGGTGACGTCATTAAGTTTCTCATCATATTTGTATATGCTGTCACGGCGTTTGCCTTCGGGTTCTACTACTTGTATAAAGATTTTGGTGCAAATAATGTTTTCAGCGAGTAAGTATACCCTGCTTGTCAACAATGCAGTATGTGTAACGTCATATGAGGCGGATATCTGATAATAAAATTGCGTACAGACTTGGAAATGTACATGTATATTATATTTACTATGTCATACATGGTGTGGTCTTATTTTCAACCAAAGCGTATGTGTATGTATGTAATCGTGTGTATTAAATTGTTTAAGCAAGCCCAAACAGAAATAAGTATGAGAGCATTAGTAGATTTCCGCTTATTCAATGTTACCTTCCCTTTTGATCTGAGTCGAGTTAGAAAACAAGTATATATGTTGGAGTCATACTTACAGATCAAGGTATTCACGGTGATATACAAAAATTCGTTGAACAAGACAAAACTTTTTACTAATAGTTATATTCTGAACATACATGAGCATATCCTGTGATAATGACATGTGATCATACGTATTAAAATGTAACCAGTGCAGGTATTGTAAGTCGCAAGATGTTCTAAGAAACGCTACATATTCACCCTGCAAGTTCTTAATAAGGAGGTATGCAATCATAGGCAAAAATACACTCACATGCATACACGCATACCACAGTATATATTTTTGAATTAGTGCACGCGGACATGGTCCCTCAACTTGAACATTTATTTTATCTCATGTACTTTCCACCGACATATAGGTTCTCTTCTTCTTTTGTTGCTCTAATATCTACTATCTTTGGAGGCAACCCGACGGATAGTTTAAAATCCGACGATCTGGTTTTCAACGTTACTGCTGCTGGATCTGAGGGTTTACTTGATGCAAGACCTATGTACCAAACAATGGGGTTTATACTATATGCATCGTTTGGTACTATATGTATGCTCGTATTGCTAAATATCTGCATTGCCATGATGTCTGATACTTATGCAAAGATGAAGGTGAGTAGAACATGCCTTCATATAAAGTACCTATAAATCGGGAAAACACTTTCTTGTTTTGAATGAAACACAATGTTTAACACATAGCTCTATAATATAATATATATCAAAGAGAATATATGTTGGATTCTAATGTGGTGTACGATATAACATGTCAGTCAAAATCTTGCAAAATATGTTATTTTTAGTACCAAATGTAGTATTTTCATTCCCTAATACAGAATAGATAGACTAAATAGTGTAGCTATTAAAAGAGTCATGTTCGTTACCAGGGTACGACTGTGTTAAGAAAGCGTTCAAATGCTAGAATTTCTTAAGCATACGTGTAAAGTTTCCCTTATTACATCTGTGTATATATCGGTTGAGTGTTCGCTAAAGAGTGTTCTAATTAAATAATTGAAATATTTCAGAAAACGTTTAACAATTTACTTTTTATTAAAAACTAAATATATTATACTCCTCTTACAGTTATATATCGTTTTGTTAACTCATCACCTTCAGAAATCCGGAGAAAAATGGTAGATTTGAAGTTTTTACATATAACATAAATTATAATTATTGCTATTACTTGTTATCGAAAATTCAATTCATGTATCCACTCGTTTCACAAGGCAACGTTTTCATACAATTCAATGTCGTCTCAGTATATAAGAATTCCATCTTTTAATCCACGTTCACTTAATGGATTGTCAAACAATGTTATTATTGATTTTGTTTAGAATTCCATTTATTACTCTAGGCTAAACTACAGATTACAGCCCAATGTGAAACTATTAGGGAATATACCCTGTTCACAAAAAACACCACGCGCGCGGGGTGGTCACGCATAAGAGGCGTGATCGGATATTCTCTTTCGTTTCGCTTACAATGGCAGCTATATTTTTTCGCTCTGCTTTTTACAAGCATGACGAAAGACAGGTTACAGTTTTCTGACTGAGAATCATCTAGAATTTCCAGTGTGGTGATTGACTCATTACGGTAAAGGCTTACATTATTAGGAGCCCCGTTTTTACTGTTTTTTAGTTGAATTGCCGGCTCATTTGGCGCGGTGAATTTACTCGTTTTTCCCTTTCGTAATTTTTGCAGATGATAATAAGTCACAAAAAAAGACGAAAAACGTTCCGCTTCAGACGGAACGTAGGACATGCTCTTCCTGCTTCACGCTAGTGCACGAGAGGGATCCTCATATGTGTTGTCACGCTTGCCTTAATTGTATCAAGGACCCCGGGGTCTGCCTTGAGGGGATTTGTGATTTATGGGACCATAAAATGTGGTTCATTTGTGAAGCGGGTTAGAAGACTGAAGACAGGCGATCTAAAGCTGGTGGAAGTCGCGGAAAGAAGGGGAAATCCCTTACTGCGCTAGCTAGTATGTCTGATTCATCGGTCAACCACTTTTGCAGGGGAAATCGAGTTCCCAGTCACCACGGCGACGGACGTTGATAAACGGCGTGTTCCCTCTCAGTTCCGTGGTGGAATCGGCACGTCCTTTAGAGACCGAACCGGTTTATTCCACCGAACTTAAAGCGTGGTAGTCGTCGCGCTGCACATGTTCGACATTTGTGTTGATAAACATTAATTTTCCCACAATCCAATGCGCTCTTCAAATGAAAATCACAAGTATGAGGTTTGATCTGGGAACGACTTGCACTGATTACCGTCGGTGACTCCTTCAATACCTTCCAATCACATGAAAATTACCTAATTAAAGCTTGGAAACGTGTCAGTTCGTACTCGTTGATCTGCGCAACAGTCAAAGTCGCCATCTCTGTTTATATGAGACCCATATATTTCGCACATGCGCGACGACTGCCACGCTTTACCGTTACTGACGCAGCCTGAGTGCATTGCACAATCACAGGGACAGGCCCAGTTGCCTCCCTGTACTGGTACTAGTCAAGATGACAAACGACTCTCTCAGAGTGAAGAGATGGCTTGAACAGTCTGGATGCGTCTGGCTTCAAAAGTCAACTCCTTTCTGCAGTCTCAGGGTAGGACGCAGGATAACCTGGGGGGTAAGTGGGGGGGTTGAGATATTGCCTGTACAGGGCTAGGGTCAGGTGTGTTTCTTTCTCTTAGTGACCCCTCCTTCAGAGGGTCAGGGGGACAATTCACATCAGTGGGAAGGGTTTATCGGTACCCCATTGGGGCTACACAAACCGTCGATGGCTTTCTGAAGTGGATTACACACGTGGTGCCATAGCCTTCTCCACGGGTTCCTCGTCCTGATCCCAGTACCCATACATTTGTTAAGGCGGGTAGTGCTGATCTGGAAGGCCACGCTGTGTGGTCATTTGACCGGCACCAGAGCCTACTAGGGCTTTACGGGCGGAACTAGACCCATCAATTTTTTTAAATATGGGTTTCTCTAGCATTAGAGCATCAGCTCACCTTGCTTAGTCCTGATCGTCTGAGTGCTCAGTAACAAACCTTGATCCTCGGGCAGATGGGCCAGTTCCTGGCGGAGCAGAGATTTGCTATGTGCGATATCCTGCAAGTCCATACTGCCCTCTTGGCAGGAGCGGTTTTGGCTGAGCGTGAGGCAGTTCTGGGTCTGTGCACATATCCTACTCCAGTGGGAGACAAGTTTAGTTGCCTGCGGAGAAGGCCTTGGGGGCGTGACTGGCTATTTGGTGGCTGGTTAGTGGATGCAGTGAACGGTTTGGCGGTTGTGGAAGATCAGCGTGTCCAATTGAAGCAATCATCTCTGTTGGCTAAGGTAGCTACTCCTTCTGGTCAATGGATCAGACCAAAACCGCAAGGCAGCCCAGGTAGTAAGTCCGCCACTTGCAGCCGGACGACGTCAACGGACGACGATCAAAGCACTCATGGTCTCCTTCGAAGTGGCAGAAGATGACTAGTAGTGGGAAGCATCAACAAAAGCCCAAGAAATGTAGTGATGGTGGTGGGCGTTCTGACACTTCTGGGGACTGGGGGTTGCAAAGTCACTTTGAAGGTTATGCCAGCTGCCAGGACATGGATGGTGGTACGACTCCGGGTTTCTCTCCCTGGGGTCCCCGGGCTCTGTCTACACCTTTTTGTCCTCCCATTTTGGAGGATGGATTTTGAGAAGCACTAGCTCCGAACCCCCGTCCGCTCCTTCCCATGGGATCGCGCCTTATGCAGCACATATCAGCTTGGTGCAGGATGGTTTTGAATCCCTGATCGCTTGAAGTAGTGTTGCATGGGTATCGGATTCCTCTTCAGTCTCCTCCTCCTCTGACTCCTCACCCTCCCTCAGGTCTTTTGCCAAGGGACGGAGGCAAGGCAGAGACAATCTGACAGTACCAAGCCTTCTGTGGAAAAGGGCCTAGTGGGGAACCCCTGTGTAACACCAGGGTTCTATTCCCGCATCTTCTTCGTTCCCAAGAGCTCAGGGGTGGTGTCCAGTTTTAGACCTTAGTCGGATGAACAGGTTTGTCAGATTCCCAATGGAGGGCAAAGTCTATGAGTTTACCACCCTCCTCTGCGGTCTGTGCACGGCACTGTAGGTGAAGACCTGAGTGCTAAGACAGG